CATGTTTTAGACATTTCCCTCTTCCAACACACCTGATTCAAATGATCAGCTCATCATCATCAAGCTCTGCAGAAGACTGATAACGATCCTGATCATTTGAATCAGGTGTGTTGGACGAGGGAAACATCTAAAACATGCAGGATTGTGGCCCTCCAGGACCAGGACTGGACACCCCTGAAGTAGAGGATGTTGTGTTAAAGTTGTTTAGCTTGTATTTGTCTGCGCCGGCGGTGACTCTGTTTGCGTAGGTGGAAACCTTGCAGCAACTTTAATGTAAAGTTGTGAAACGTCGTTGATGAGGAGGAAAGTCGGGTGTGTCTGACGAGTAAGTTCTTTACCCTTAAAGCTCTAAAGTCTCCTGAATGAAGCAGAAACGATGTTCATTCAGCTCGAACCACCTCTGGCTGGTCTGTTTTGGGACATAGACCAGGATTAGTTCCGCTTTTATCACAACTGACTGCAGCGTCATCAAGTAAAACATTCAAGTACAAACAAGTAAACATTCCTGCAAAATTACTTCTGTGCAGATTAACGAGTGTCAGTGTGACGACTTGTTAAATCCCGTCTATTTATAAAACTTCACACTGAAGCTGGAGAATGTTTCTGTCGTGACACACTGAATATCTCTGGAATACAACAGCTTCAAGACTTGATTTTCGAGTCTAACAAGTGGATAAGAATTTATCTTGGCTTACAGAGCTTCAACATCGCATTAAAGACATTAAAGAAGACTCTGGTGCATCCAAGCGTCCCAGCAAGCTGTGAAAATGTGATCAGGACTCTGAAACTAAAGGAGACGAATGAGCCTGAACCATCATTTATTCATTATTTACACCTGTACTCGTCCTCATTTCACGGTAAAGTCTTTTGCGACGGCTCCACCTGGCAAGAAAACCAAGTGATAAAACTCAAAACGGAAGAATCGAAAGGAGGAAAGAGATTTGGTGAACATAAAAGCGCCACTTCTTTCCATTTGAATTCTTCAGTTTCCTGATTCGGTGTCCTGCCGTGGTCCCTGTTTTGTCCAACTCAGCTCCGTTTGCTTGTTGGTTTTTGGAGTTGTCTTGGCAGCATTCGCTGCTTTTTTACCTGTTTGTTCTTGGACAGCGGACTAATGAACCTTATCAGCTGTGCTAATGGACTCCTCCACCCCATTAAACATTAAGCTGATGGGAAGCACCAAACCGAAGCCCTGGCATCCGCTGCACGGGAGCGGTTAGCCGAATGTCGGACTGGGATTTCCCATGAAAGTCAGTTTACTGCACATCTGACAGAACAGCAGACTGACAGTCACTGTTTCATCTGCAAAAAATGATTGAAATTGCTAAAGTTTTCAGTAAAGGTATAAATAAAGCATCGTGGTGCTGCAGAAATGTCCCGGAACAAACTTCTTTATGGAGCCGCGACAGTTGTTCAATTAGTTGGCAACTGTTTTGATAATCGATTAATTGATTTGCCAAATTTCTTAAGAGAAACGTCAAAATTCTCTGATTCCAGCATCCTAAATGTAAATATTTCCTGATTTCTTTCCTCCTTTGTAGCGGTAAACTGAGTATCTTTGGGTTGTGGACAACAGAAGACATTTGAGGACATTAATTTTCACCTTTTCTGACATTTTATCCCAAAAAAACGAATCAGTAAATTACCATAATCTGTGTTAGGTGCAGAATGGAGCAAAAAAATAAATCCTATCATTGTTTTTATTTATTTCGATGGAAAATAAAAAACAAAAACCATTCCTCGTTAAAAATATTTCTATATTCACTGCCAATAATTTCAGTTTCTTTCGACCTGGTGTGTTTCCCATTAACATCTTTCCAACCTTCACCTCCGATTCAGAGATTCGAGGAAACAAACAAACAAAAAAAAGCACGTCGGGCCAAAAATCATCAGTTTCTTGCAGCTTTTTCAAGAACACAGAAATTAGCAAACGGCCATTTAGCAAACTGCATTTGGTATCTGTACCTGGGACAACTTTCATTTTGCACCAATAAACGCTGTTTATATATGACTTTGAGTTTTCTTGTGACTCTATGACAAGGAGCAGGTTGCAAAGTTGGCATGAAAAATCCATCCACGGTAGCTACAAGAACACGCCAGGTTGAAATGAACCAGAAATCTGCTTTAATAGAAAGGTATCGACACGACCTGAACTGTGAATAAAATTCCCCAAAACCACGGCTTCCTGCTGCTTCAAATGATCCTGGACAACTAAAAAGTATCTGGAGGTTTATCAACAGTTCATGATTTTTTATAGTGTCCAGCAACTTTAAATTCTGCACTGAAATCTTTAAAAACAGCTCATACATGTACAGTTTTAGTTCCTTCAACAGGTGGGTGTTGCAGGTAATCTTTCAACAGGACCAGGAGGGCAGAAGTAGTGCTTTCATCTGGGACTATTTTCAGCGGCGGATTGATACACATTTGGCGCTTCATTGAGTTTTATTGTCAGCAGGGCGTTCAGATTAAACTGAAGTGGGTGTGCTCCTGGTAATGAGTGTTTTTAATAGTTTCTGGAGAGCTGTGCATCAGATGAACACGATATTTTCCGCTTCCTGTTCTGTTGAGCATTTAAAAAATCTGTGCTTGTGGCCCGAAGTTTATTTTTAGAAATCCTGAGTCACTGTTGGAGGTTCATCCTGTTTTTCCAGTCTCACCATCTCCGAGTTAAATCACACGGATTGCCCCTTTTTTTTCGCGAGCCTTCCTGCGCTCACCTGGTTTCCTCCTCGTCCTCCGGTCTGAAACCGGACACCAGGTCTCCGTGTGACGGCGGCCTCCGCGGTGTCGAGTTAGAGCTAAAAACAGACGTCGAATTAGCTGAAATAAGCTCATGCAAACACGCACACACGCCAGGTGGAGATGAAGACGAGGGTGTGGCCACATTCCTCACATGTGTACAGATGAATTCATTACACGGCGCTTCAGCACACAAACACAAAGTCATGGCGTTGCGTCACAGGCTTTGTCAGTCAAATTAGACACTAAACCTGAGCTGCAGCTTCTTTACTTCGGTCTGCTCGATGGCTGGAAGTGATGCAACACACCAGAGTGGACGATCGCCTTTTGTTAAATGGCTTTTCTCTGTAGTTTCGTACTTCAGTGCCACTGATGAGCTGTTTAAAACTCTGTCCTTTATTTCCTCATTCTCCTGCTCTCTTGTTTTGTTTGTGCTCCTGATCGACACGCGAGTTTTGTTTTCCTTCAACGTCACGATGTGTCATTTGTAAACTCGTTCTACTGCCGTCAGCTGACTGTTTCCATCAGCGTTTCTTTGCTGTTTTCCCTTGTGGACTAATTAATCTGTGTCTAGTATTTAATTAACACAATTACATGCATATGATTATTATTCATCTTTTAAAAACTCGTCTATTTAGGGTCTTTTTCGTCGTAGTGTTCTTGTTTGTCCAGTTATTTGGTGTACGATTGGGTTGCTTGAGTTCCTTGAAGACGTTTCACCTCAAGAGGCTTCATCAGAGAGGGAGGGGTGAAAGAAGTCATCTATTAAACTGGAAAGACCATCCCTCACCAGAGGTGGAGGTCTGAGGCACCTCTCACCTGTTTATAGTTCAGTGCTAAGATCTCTCCCCAGGAAGATGAAGCTACATCCACACCTATAGCCACAAAGACCCTAACGAACCTCATTGTGGCAATAACGACCCGCATAACGAGGGGGAGGAGCAACAAACCGACAATCGAAACCCAAACTCAGGTGTCTCAAGTATCTGGAACTCTCAACTAGTCAGTCAGAACTGATGAAGCCTCTTGGATGAAACGTCTTCAAGGAACTCAAGCGAGTCCAGTTGCTACCATTAATCTACGAGAATAACCACGACCTGGATGCCTGAGAATCTTCAGACACATACGGTTGGGTTTTTCATCCAAAGCACAGAATCCTCAAAGCCTCAGTGTGTTTCCGATTAGATAGTTTGTGTGACGTGTTGTCCGACTACATCTTAAAGCAAAAACATTCAGTGTTGGCGTCACCGTTCTAATATATTAATGTTTGGCAGGTCTAAAATGCTAAGTTACACAGATTCAGTTTTGCAGCCGCAAATTTAAATTTTGATCTGATAACGGCACAAAAAGTCGTGTTGGGTCACATTTCACAGCCAAAAAGATCCAAAGACGAACTGTATGGAACCAAGCTGACGCGTCGGTTATTTGAAAGCTGGGACCCAGACTCGTGCAGAACCAAGAAATGCTGCGCCGCTGATTTAGATCAAGTTAACCAGCCTGAAACTTTGATTCTGTAGAGCAACATGAGATATCAGAGGCAGAGGATTGTGGGCCAGAATGGTCACAACATCATGCTAGCTCACAACCAAATGACCGAATGTAGCAGAACACTTGAATATTTCTGGAATATTACATCTAATATAGTATATATTGGGACATATTAAATCTTCCTCTTGCATATCATCTAGTGTAGTAGTTGTGGATATTTGAACACAGGCAGACGAGATCCAGAATTTGCATTAACAGAACAGGAACTGGACCCAATGGGGTGTACACAATGTGCATCCAGACTTGTACAGTTTCCAGGGCTTTAATCTGAGGGTTCAGGTGGACCTATGAAGACCTCTAGATGGCACCAGATGATCCTCCAAGTGATTAGAGTTTATACATGAATGTGTGGACCACGTTTCTTGACAGTCCGTCCGTTCATTCTTTTGAAAGTCAAAAAAAATCAAAAAGTTGGTGCAACTAGAGTTTAAGGATTGATGAAGTCCTAAGTATGTATCCTCTGTAAACCTTTGATGTTTATGAAGGGATGTTTGAGTCTGGAGCAGCATGAGGAACTTCATGCCATCCGTACAGTTGTGCCACTTGCCCATAACTGAAGTCTTGCCAACATCTTGTGATACCTGCATGAAGTCGACATGGCTGTCGGACTGTCCGGTTTAAAAACTTGCAGAACTTCTCGGACACTTCCCCAACGACACAAAAGCTTAAAAATGACATGTTGATGACCTTGAACTCTTCTTGTTCTTCCTCAGAGATACTTGAGGTGCGAAGATGAGTCGGCGGCGAACGGACTCCCAGGGTTCCCTGGGGCCCGACGATGAGGCCATGCCGTACAGCGACGACGAGACGGACGACGAGTTGGCAGTGAGTTCTGAAGGGGAACCTGATGAACCGCCAGGAGCTCCGCATCCGCCGGTGGAAACTAGACCCAGCGGTGAGTCCCAAGACCTGCAAACCGAGACCTGTCGGACACATTTTATGTTTGTTTTTGTGAGATTTGTTTAGCCTAGCTTAGCGTTATGACTGGAGGCAGCATGCTGGCTAAGCTCCATCAAAACAGACCAAACATGTGATCCAAATCCTCCAACGCTGATTAAAATGCTGCACTTAGATAAACTCTTAAAGGCGCTACAAAGCTGCTGTTTTTGCTGTTGTTGACATGTTTCATTCTGGGGGGGGTTCATGTCTTTGTGCTGCTGACAGTCGTGGACGGAGGTAATATGTGACTGTTTGTCTCATCGATCTCTCAAACACCTTTTTTCTGCAAATGTATTGATTTGGAGTCGAGCATAAAGCAATCAGACTTCAGCGGTCAAAGGACTCAGAAAATAACTGGCCGTAGTTCAAGACTTTTTTTTGAGAATTCAAACACTAACTGTGAGAATTATTTGACAAGATAAAACGACAAAGTGATGACATTTTATATCCAAAACGTCCAAAGTCAGCTTCACTGTGGCGTCATATTGTTCTGCAAAAAAAACACTTCTCTGCTCGTTATTCAGCCCCATGACTTCATATTTGATTGGATACTGAATTGGGGACACTCATCTCGGGTGCCGACCGATTCCTCAAAGTCTTCTCGACGTATATTCAGGGATTTAATTTGGCTGAAGACCACCATAGTTGAGCTCCTCCTCTTGACATACCGAGGTCGAGGTGGAGCTCAGCAGTGGCTTTACCACTTTTTTGCATCTTTTGACATGTTGCTGTGATCCTGTGCTTTTCTACAACCAACCAGTTTAACTAAATACCAGCGTTTTCATACCTGCTGTTTCTTCGACCAGTGTGATTTGCCTGCTCTTGTGTGCGTTGTTCCTCTATTTACTGTGTGCATCATGTGTGAACTGCTGGATACCTTGAATTTCCCCAAGTGGATAAATAAAGCATCTGTCTAGAGTCAGTTTTCTGCAATGACATCTGTGGGAACAAAGCGAATTTCAGTATTTTTTAGGGGAGAGTTTTCAGTTTTGCTGCCTAAATGCAACAATATTTGTAGCAGTAGTGTCACTGCAAGCAAGAACTGTAGTTGTAAATAAAATATAGGACGACAGACAGTTATACTCGTAATTACACTCTGCAGATACTTACGTTGGATCAGTGCAAAGATTATTTATCACAGGAAGAGTCGTGTGTTTTTTTAACCATGACTTAAATGCAAATAATATATATTAAAGAAATGACATTTAAAATATTGGTTTGTAGCTTCAGTGCATCTGATTGTTGCTTCATTCAGTTTTCACTTCATCCAAATTACCTAAAGGTTCAGCAGGTGAAGTTCGGGAATAAAAGTGGTTTAAAGACTGAGAGACATTTCACTAATAAAATGGATGTGAATGAATTTTAGTTTATTAGTTTCAGAAAATTGCATCCTCTCGATGGACATCAACAGAACACAATATTTGCAGTTTTCCTGGAACTTCTTCCTCCTGAACAAATTGTCCTGACTTCTACTTTGTGGATGTAGACTGCAGCTTCTCCGGCTGCTGCAGGCGACCAGCTGCATGTCGCAGTGGTTCTGGTTTAAATGGTGTTTTTTTTTTTAATTGTTTTTTTATTATTATTTTATTTTAGAAATGGGCTGGAAGGTGAAGGCCAACGACCGAGCTTATCACCAGCTGCCAGAGTTTCAGAAGAAAGTCTTCCTGTGCGTCAAGAAGAGCAGATACTCCGTAAGTCGGGCCTTTTTCCGTCCACAGACCAAACCTTCAGAGCTGAGCGAGGCCGACACACCCTGTACAAACACCAATGTGTATTTTGCATGTTTTGGCAAGAACACGAGGGGCTGAAGCACCAACGTGAAATGAAATCCTCGTTTCTCTGTGGTTTTTACGGTTTACCGTTTTATTGCGCAGCTCCTTTGCTAACTTAGCTTCCCCTACATATGGAAACTCTGGAGCCGTCTCTCCGGCTGACCGGCTTTCAACAGCCTCTGAACACCAGAGTGTTTTTGCGCCTGAAGCTTCGTGTCGTCGGCTTTGTGAGGGTTGAAACCCGATCGCACAGCCGAGCCGACCTCGGTGCCTCTGTGGACACTTTAGACCCAGCGGGAGCCGCCAGAACTGAAGCCAGAAGAAGTTAAAAACAACTTAAACAGTGGTTCCCTAAACATCAGAGTCTTCAGTTGGGCCGGTGGAGACGAAGTGAAACGGGTTGTTAATGTTTATAACCGTCTCCATTAGATAAATCCAAGCTGTAGAGGTTAAATGGTTATCTGTGATGAAATGAATCTGTCTCATTAGCGAACTGGGCCACCGCCTGCAGGGTCAACCAGGACACCGGCCAGTTAATCCACATATGGAACCCCACGATGGTTCTGCTGAGGCCTCATTCTTCCAGTGAAGGGAAATGTTATTGCTGCAGCGTTCAGCGGTGGTTCAGACAGGACTGTGCATCCAAATGAATTCTGTGTCATATGTTAGTGTGACGATTCCACTTTGCACAAAGCCAAGTCCGTTAAGAAACCGCCTGTAGCGAGCAGAGTTTAGATGGTTATCCTCTGCAGAAACACAAAACCTCCTCAGTGCTGATACCTGCTGAAAGTCTGAGAGCTGAGCCTCCTCAAGGGCAAAGCTATTCCAACTCTGTCATCCCGTAGAAGCTTTGCTGTCCGTGTATTTTAATGGAAATGGATGACATGCTGAGTTAAAATGGAATTTCAACCAATATAGTTTAAAAAAAAATTGCAAATACCTGTAATTTGTTTTTGCTGATTTAAAGTGTAACTTTATAGGCAAACAGTGTAAAAGAACAAATTACTGTTTGTGAAAACGTTGACGTTATTCACAGTTTTATGGTTACCATGCACTCACTTTTTCTATGATATTGCCAGTTTTTGTTATTTAACAAAAGAGGGAAAAATCTATGTAAAAAAACAACAAACAAAATAACATAATAATTTGTGGTGCGGAACCAAATGCTAAGCCGTCATTGTGTTTGCTGTGTTTTTTCTGCAGGGAAACGCCATAAAGACGTACAAGTACAACGTGTTCACCTTCCTGCCCCTGAACCTGTATGAACAGTTTAAGAGAGCAGCCAACCTGTACTTCCTGGCTCTGCTCATCTTACAGGTATGTCTGAAAAAAAATAAAGTACTACCTGTGTTCTGGTTTTGCAAAAACCCAAGATCCAATAATTGTTTGTTTGTTTGTTAGATTATTCCAGACATCTCCACCCTGCCCTGGTACACCACACTGGTTCCTCTGGTCGTGGTGCTGGGAGTAACCGCCATCAAAGATCTGGTGGATGATCTGGTAAGACTGGAGCTTTAAAAAGATGCACACACACACTGCACCTGTATCGATGTGATAGAGCTTAGAAAGATGTTTGGTTTCCAAGAACCAGGCAAAGCTTCATGCTCAAACTTTACCTCCATGTCCACCAATGAGTCCCAATTTGACACCACTTTCCTAGATGTTCCTCACGTCAAGTACATTAAAATGAATCCAGTGTAAATGCAGCTGAGGAGATCATTAGTGCACGTTTACAAAAAAAGTCTAATTTTTGCATCCAAGCTGTTCAGGAACCTCGTAGAGCTCCAGAAAGACGCTGTCTGACATGTAGTGTGTAAAAGGTACCGGGGTTGTATTCTCTACATACGTGTCAGAAAATGTGTCGTAGATTAGCTGTAGTACCTGGTTGCGCCACCAGGTGGAGCCTTTTACTGTTTGATGCTGTAGCAAACAGATGAGGCGATAATTTGGACTACAGGTGGTTCATGTTGGCGAGCAGAGAACACTGTGGGGGTCTGGCTAGCAATGGGGCGCCATTAATGACCTCTAGCCAACGCAAATGTGTTGAACACAAGCTGGGCTCGGCTTCTGGATCTTTAGTTTACAAGAATTCTAGCACAAAGCTGTGTGATTATACATAAAGTACGTAATTTTGTGGTTGTTTTTTTTCTTATTTTTTTCCAGGCACGCCACAGGATGGACAAGGAGATCAACAACAGGAAGTCTGAAGTCCTGCTAGACGGCAGGTTAGATCAAAGTTATTTACTGTTTAAAAACTGCCGACAATACTTTGTGGAAATGTTTCAGTTGTTCAAGTGTTTTGTGACGAGAGTAAAGCTGATAAATTTTCCCTGTTTCAGGTTTCAAGAGGCTAAATGGAGGGACATCCAGGTCGGAGACGTGGTTCGTCTGAAGAAAAATGACTTTATTCCGGTATGATGGGTCACGCTGAGTGATTTAATTTTTGGACTGACCATCTATTTAAATTCAAAACAATGAGGCACCTTGAACTACAACAAACTTCACTAAGCGTCCACATACACAAGCCAGATGCCTGCTTTGAGAAAGTTAGATAAACTTAGTGTCAGCAAAAGGACATCTTGACGGAACCACATTATTAACCTGTACATCAAACCATGACATGGTTCTAGTCTCCAGGTTTTTCATTTATTCAGGTGAAAGAGGTAAACGGTCGACACCGTGTTGTTCTGCAGCTTGTGGCGTTCAGGGAAGATGCATTTGGTCGCTAGCAAACTGTAGACTGCAGTAATGATGCTAACGCTAAAGCACCCTAGTTTTTTTTATGCCTTTTAGACGAAGGGTTACTTGGTGCCACTGAACCATGATTTCTGACCCGTCCAAGAAATTCCTGAACGCCAAAGTGATAAACTAACTCCACAACTCAGTACGAGACAGTTTGCGACTCCTTGACGTGTTTGTTTTCTGACATGAATGTCCCTTCATGCAAATTTTAAATGAGATGATAAATCCAGCCCGATGCTGAATGCCTACGATCTGTATCCTCTTCAGGCCGACATCCTGCTGCTGTCCAGCTCCAACCCAAACAGCCTCTGTTATGTAGAAACCGCTGAGCTCGACGGGTAAGACTCAGTTTTGCTTTCTGTGGGGGGGAAAAAGCCTGAATGTTTTAATCCTAATTCAGTGTAATGCACGCTTGGCTTCAGCTGCCCTATCTCCACTGAATGCCGTGTTCAAACCTGGTTCTGGACTATCGGATCAGTGTTTGTGATCAGTTGTTCGCTCAAGCGTTGAGTCAACAATTACTCACTGATAAGACGAGAGTAAATTTGTGCAGAGCTTTTTGCCAAGAGTTGCGTGACCAGATTCTGCCATGAAGTGGGAACCGCCTTTAGATCAAACAGGCCTCGATGGGACACCTCAGGTGGAACCATTTTCCTGTTAATGGCAACTAATCTGAAACACCAGCATCGATATCCTCTTTATATCGCGTGCTTTTGTGTTTCCAGAGCATCTTTATGAATAAAAACTTCAGTAATCCAGACAGGAGGCCTTTTGATAATCGTTTTCTCAAACTGGTTCCATCTAAATCCAGCTTTTAGGAGCTTCAGTCCTTGTTTACTGTGATGCTGGATTGTTCGTATGAAGCTCAGACTTTGTTCTCGTTGCAGAGAAACCAACCTGAAGTTTAAGATGGGACTACGAGTGACCGACGAGAGGCTTCAAGAGGAACGTCAGCTGGCCGAGTTCAACGGTAAGTTCACAAGCACAGAGATCGGAAAAAATCACTTAGAAAGAATAATTTCATTATAAAACCAGAATTTTCTTTTAAGCTGTAGGTCAGCTGGCTAGCTCCATGTGACTTTATTTTAGCAAAATATTTGTTGTCTTTGACTGCTGATTATTTTATTTTTATTTAATTTTGCCAAATTTTATCTTTTTTTTTTCATTGACTGCTGAGGATTTTTGTGATTTTAATCTATTTTCTTTTTATCTAAATTTTTCAGCATATTTTTTGTCCAACTGGTAATGATTTCATTATTTGAGTCTATTTTATTTTTTCACGTTTTATCTGACTTGTAATGATTTTAATTATTTTAGTCTAGTTTCTTTTATTTCTTTTATCTTTTTTTTTGTCTTTTCTGATGATTTCATTATTTTAATCTATTTTATTTATTTATTTATTTATTTTTTTTTATTTCATCGTATTTTTTGTCTGACAGGTGATGATTTCATTATTTTGATATATATTTTATTTTGTCTAATTTGTCACATTTTTTTCATTGATTGCTTTATGATGTTTATCTATTTTATCATCACTTTTTATTTATTTTTTGGTGTGTTGTGTATTTTTAGAGTGTGGTTTAACTGCTGATTGTGGGACAAATTGCCCCTCAGGGATGACAAATATGACCTTGAACTTCATGTTTGAACAATTAGAAAAATCTGAAAATGTTGTTGACGTGCTGTAGCTGAATTTAAGGCGAAGCAGCAGAAGATGGGAAGTAGACGTCAGTAAATGAGCGTATTGAGGGAAACTTTAAGGATCCAGAGTAAAATATCTCAACAACCACTGAGCGTTTCCACACCTCCCGCCGATAAGAAAACTTCTGTTTTTACAAATTTTTAACTGAAATCAAAGCCGTTCTTGTGTCCTCTCGTCTGTTTCAAAGCCCTGATCGAGTGCGAGGAGCCGAACAACCGTCTGGACAAGTTCTTGGGGATGATGCGGTGGAACCAGGAGACGTACCCGTTGGAGCTGGACAACATGCTGCTCCGAGGCTGCAAGGTCCGAAACACCGAGGAGTGTCGCGGCCTGGTCATCTTCGCAGGTTTGTGCCACGTTGAACGTCGCGGCAGAGCTCGAAGTTAGATAAAGGAACGTAAATATCATCCTTGTTCCAGTGATTTACAGCTTTTATGAAGTGGAATGCAAACTAATCACCTTTATTGGATGTTTTTGATATTTTATAGCCAAGATTGACTCGTTGTTGGTGCTTGTTTAAAGTCAAAGTGGGAAAAAATGTGTATATATATTTATTTCTATATATATGTATAGCAATAATAATAATAGCAGGTGGAACAGTTAACTTCTGGTGTTCTTTAGAGCTAACATTATTTTTCCAGTTTGTGACCAACGGAAGAACATTCTGCTTGATTCGCTAACTGATTTTTTAAAATGTATAGATTTTTTGGCTTATTTTCGTCTTCAAAAATGTCAGAATTTGCTGCTTTTCTTAGTCTGACATGATGATAAATGGATCGATGTTTGACTTTTATACTTTTGGTCGGACAATAGAAGATATTTGAAGATATTTCCTGAAATGATTTATCTATTGACAACATCAGAATAGTTCTTATTTGGCTCAATGGCGTCAAAATAAATGTACTTCTGTGACTTTTTATTACTTAAAATATCTGGTAATTGAGACACTTGCTGCTCATTTGTCTTGTTGTGCTTATTTTCTACTCTCCTGTTACACTTTTTTAAACTTCTGTTTGCTGTCTTCATGCTGACTGTTTGTGAATATACGAGACTATTATTATTACTGAGTGGTAATTAATGACTAATGTAATATGTGTTGATGCAGGAGCCGACACCAAAATCATGAGGAACGGGGGCAAATCCAGGTTCAAGAGGACCAAAATTGATGAGCTGATGAACTACATGGTTTACACTGTGAGTCACCGTTAGCGTTTCAGTTTTAGCTCCTGGTTCCATCATCAGTTAGCTCGCATTGTTTTTTTATTTTTTTATTTCCAAATTCTTAAAGAAGGTGTTGAGTGTTGTTTTCTTCGCACCAATCTGGAGTAGCCGGAGTCCTGAAATGTTGCAGGCCCATTGGTCTGTACGTGTGGTTTATAATGGTGTGGATGGAATCATACAAACCAGTTATGTGATGGCGCAAGTTTGGGCAAAATATATCCACCAACCAGGATCATTGACATGTATGTGTGGTCTTCAGTGGTAAAACCCGGCTTTGATAACATAAGCACTTTTCATTGAATTAATTGAAGCACTATGAGTTGGAAAACCGTGATTTTTTTTTTCTTCTTTTAGCCCAGTAACAATAATACAGAACTCTTCCAGTTGAGCCACTATTGGAGCGGTTTCACCATCGCACCAGCTCAATGGCTGTCCTAATATTGGACATAGCACCACACTCTACATTTTTTCCAATTGGTGCAAACCAAAGGGAAAACAATCTGCCTCTTATGGTGAGACTAAAGGGTTTACACTTGGTAAAAGAAAAAACGCAGACATTTTCATATAACCGGCTTGGGTGTTCTGTCAAAGACGGGTTTGTACCGTTGACAACCAGACGTACATATCAGTGATTCTGCAAAATGTCAGGACTCCAGCTACAATATTTCTCAAGTTATGGGACTTCAAACATTGAGCCACAGATTGGTGCGAAGAAAACGACCCAGCAATCGCTAGACCCCGATTTCTTCAGGAAATTTAAACTCTAAAGATAATGTTGCCCATACGTTTTACTTACTAACGTGCAAACAAAAAAAATCTGACAAATATGTGAACCATCTGCATGAAATCATTGGACCTTGGGCTACATCCGAGATACAGCCCGGACTACGTAAACACATGATAAAATATTGATTTTATTACTTAGATCGGTCCATTTAGTTGTTTTCTACATGTAGGCAACATATAGTATATTACGCTCCACATCGCTGTCCAGTACCGTCGGGTGCAATGTGACTGATTTTGTGTAGATGGGTCACGTTTTTTTTAGTATTCGGGGAACTGAGGTGGACTGACCCATTTACCAGCCGCTCGGTCTGAACTGTGCTTCTGCTGCTGTAGATCTTCGCCCTGCTCATCCTGGTGGCGGCCGGCCTGGCCATCGGTCACACCTACTGGTACGAGGATATCGGATCCAAAGCCTGGTACCTGTACGACGGCAAGGACCAGGACGCCTCCTACAGAGGCTTCCTCAGCTTCTGGGGATACATCATCGTCCTCAACACCATGGTGCCCATTTCACTATACGTCAGGTCAGTCAAACCACACGACAACGTCTGGTTCTTCTCCACATGTTCATAGAAGTTTGCTGCGAGTTAAACGCTGATGCTAAATGCTGGCTTCGGGGAAACCTTCGTACGACTGCCTCGACGGCACTGCAAGGAAAAGAAGAGTTGGGTTAGATGGGATTTTCAGTTTTCTCAGAAGCAACACGTTATTTATGTTCAACTTTAAGTGTCTAAGCCGTTGTACACAAACTTAATCTGTGTATTTGTGCAAATGTTCTTTGTTCGTTTAAATTTTAAGCGAAGTCTTTTGCACAATCTCTGCACAGAGCGGCGCACTTTGTATATGCAATATAGGTACATGCAAAAATATTTGTATATGTACTAAACAGACATAGATGGATTAGTGATAGGCTTCCTGGAGCCCCAGTTTTATGTTTTATAACAGTGGACAGGAAGAGACGCAACCCAACCCCAAATGGCTATAAAGAGGCTTAATATAGATACCAATAAAAAGACAATAAAGAGACGCAAAGGGTCTAGAAAGACCAAAAGTTGACCATGTAGTTACAGCAAACCGCCACAAGTATACGAACAATAAAGACTAGAAAGACACAAAACATGGCTGGAAAGAGCAAAAAAAGACCCTGAAGTCCTGTTCAACGACCACAAATATACAAAAAAATGAGAAAAACAGAGCTCATGTTATAATGTTCAATCAATAAAACAACCACGACCTGTTTGTCTGCTTTGTGTCCAGTGTGGAGGTGATTCGACTCGGACAGAGTAAGTTCATCAACTGGGACCTGCAGATGTACTTTGCAGAGAAAGACACACCAGCTAAGGTACATTACTAGTTCTTCTTCTTCTTCTTCTTCTTCTTTTTCTTCTACTTCAACTACTACTTCCTCTTCTTCTTCTTTATCACCTACTTCCTTTTCTTCTTTTACTAACCTTTTCATCTTTTTCTACTTCTTCAACTGCTACTACTTCTACTACCCATGTCTTCTTTGTCTTCTTCGTCTCCTTCTTCTAGTATTATATGAGCCGTTTTCATCACGTCACCATAAGTTCTGACCTGAGACTACCTGACTTTAACTGTATGCAGCTGAAGGTTTTGGGATAAACGCCGTCTTAAGTTGGGATTATTTAACCAACGTTTTAGCCGTAAGGATCCAGGCTGCAGCAGAAAAAAAGCTTTCTCCTTTAATTTGTCCTCTTAAACCTCTTGTAGGCTCGAACCACCACCTTGAACGAGCAGCTCGGTCAGATCGAGTACATCTTCTCCGACAAGACGGGAACTCTGACGCAGAACATCATGCAGTTCAAGAAGTGCACCATCGCTGGACGGAGCTACGGTACCGATGGGCTTTATTCACCTCCAACACGAGAATCAATCTAAAGTAGAGAAGTTTTCTTACCTAAAAAAACAGATCTAACAGTGCTGATACTTTGAGTTTAATTAAACTGAGAGAGGGACGTCAGGGAGGTAAAAAAGAGAAATTGCAGGTCTTGTAAAAGGGTCTTAGAATGCTTTAAACACCCTTGAAAGTCTAGATATTGGTCGTGTTTAACGGTTACTTATTGAAACTATTAGGAATTGCTTGAGTTTGAGCTGCAGGTCACAATAATCCAAAATAAACATGTAGAATAG